GTTATGCAAAACTACAGATCAAAATTTTCTTCCCCTTCACTTGAGAAAATCATGCATTTCCAGAGGCTATTTAGTCCCACATATTCATGCTCTGTCTCTAGACCGGATCTGATCCCAAATTGTTCTAATTGTCTGCAAATTTGAGTTTCTGACCCAACTGCATGGACACTGTTTAATGTAAGGAAGGAGAAAACCAATTATGTGCTTCTGAGGTGCACACGCTATAGAGAAAGCATGTGAACCACCTTTCAACTTGACAGCACCTTCACAGAACAATTCAGAGCTCCTGACACACCTCAGAATTGGTTCTTCAGTAGACTGGTATAGAGAGGTCAGACTCACTGCCTGGCATACAGTGACCCCTAGAGGCACCAGGTGGCGCTGCAACTTCAGTTACTCCCTTTCTGCCGTCACAACAACCCTTTAAAGAATATTATTTCTTTTTTTTATTTTAATTTTTATTAGTGAGACACCATGAGGTACAGTTGTAGACTTACAAAGTTTTGTGCTTGGGTTTCAATTATACAATGATCAAATACCCAACCCTCCACCAGTGCCCATTTCCCACCACCACGGATCCCAGTATCCCTCCCACCCCCCTCCCCCCCAACCTACCCTGTCTCTGTGGCAGGGCATTCCCCTTTGTTCTCTCTCTCCTTTTGTGTGTTGTGGTTTGCAAAAGAGACATTGAGTGGCAATCATGTTTGGTCTATAGTCTACTTTCAGCATGCTTCTGCCATCCTGGGAGGATCCTCCCAACACCCTTGATTTGGTGCTCCCTTAAAGAATATTATTTCTGAGAAGTGGTACTAAGTAATAAACAAAACCTACCTTGCCTTAAACATCACTTCAAATATCATCATATAATTCTTGTAATTCTACATACGTTGATATGTAAAATTCTAAACCGAAGGACTAATAAGAGGAACTTTTAAAAATGAGGTTAGCATTTTATAAGATCTTATTATATGAGATCAGTATTACCTGGATACAAGGCCAAAAGAAAAGATGGCAGATATCCCTCATGATCATGAAAAAAATATCAACAAGGCACTAGTAAATTGAATCCAGAAACATAAAGAGGATAAAAAACTTCCTGACCAAGGAAGATTTATCCCTCAAATCAAGGCTGGCTCAAAACTTAGAAAGCCAATTAGCATAATCAGCCATAGCAACATAATAAAGAAAAATAAATGAGATAATCTCAGTAGATAACTTTAACAATGTTTAACATCTGTTGATAATTTCAAAACTATCAAAATATCAGAAGAGAAGAGAATTGCTTTTAGTTAATAAAGAATTCCCACACAAGCAAAACAAAATGATAAAAAACCTAGCTAACAATACAGCAAATGGTGAATAGATCCTGACTAGCTTCCCTCTAAACTAAGAATCAAGACACCGGAGGATGGAGGCTCTAGTGGGAGGTAAGAGTAAGAAATGTGATCTGGGTCCAGAGAAGTAGAGCAGCAGGTAAGGTGCTTGCCATGCAGGCGGCCAACCAGGGTTTGATCCCCTGTACCCCAAGCCCTGCCAGGAGTGATCCCTGGCACAGTGTGCCCCCCCAAACAAACAAAAAGTCTGCATTTAAGAAAAAAATATGTCAACAAAGTATCCCCATAGAAAATTTTAAAGATTCTATGGAAAACACATAAGGATTAATAAACAAGTTTGGCAAGGCCACAGAATCTATGCTGCCTAGTGAATGACTATAAGCTAAAATTTTAAGGAAAAAAGTTTAATTTACCATCGTACCACAAAATAATGACAAATACTTAGGTACATATATAACAAAATATTAACAAATCTGTATTCTGAAGGAATTACGCTGATAAAAATAAATCCCAAAAGACTTAGAATTATAGAGACTTACCATTTTCAATGGTTGGAAGTAAGTGTTGTGAATGTCAGTTGCTTTCAAAATTTATTTATAGATTAAACTCTATCAATTGTCTGATTCTAAAATCTATTCTAGGAATTCAAAATCAATATTTGAATTTAAAATTTATATGGATAATCAAAGCCAAAATAATTTTGATGATTAACAGAGCAATAATGTAAAAAGGAAAACAGATGAATTCAGCAAAACAGAAACTTACATAGCTAATTATTTTTTGGCCAAATACACAGTAATCTGATAAGAAAGTATAAGAAAGTCTTTTCCATTACTAAAGTTGAATCAACTGGTTGCTTATATGGGAAAAAAAAAACACCTTAAACCCTAACTCATGTTACACAAAAAAGTTTAGTGTAATATAAACACAAAGCTAAAACCAAAAAATAAGAGTTCTAGAACAAAATATTAAACAATACTTTTTGAACTTGAAATAAGATATAGAAACAAAGTGTTGACTCACAAAATTAAAAAATTGTATATTAAATTTATAAAAATAAAACATTAAATCCTTAAAAATACTGTGAAGGATATTAAAACAAAAGTCATGGATATGCAACATATATAACAGGCCAAAGACTCATTTGAAATACAAAAATCACTTGTTATTAATAATGAGACAAAAGACTGCTTCCTCACCATCCCAACAAATAGGGGGTAAAGATTGTGTTTGTCTGTTTGTTTGCTTGTTTTGGTTTGGGGGTCACATTCAGCGATACTCAAGGGTTACTCCTGGCTCTGAACTCAGGAATTACCCCTTGTGGTGCTTGGGGGAACATATGGGATGCGGGGCTGGATGTGAGGATGATCTGGCTTCAACATCTGTCATCTTATTGATCTCCAGGATTGATTTGACCTATCTGGCTGGCTAGGCAGGTGTCCCCTTCCTCTCTCACGGGTTCATGTGCTTCCCTCCTGAAACAGCCTCCCCTCCCCAACTCCGCCACACACACACCAAATAGAGATGGACCACTCTTCTGTTTTATGAGTAGCTGCACTCCCCCTGTAGAACCTACAATCAAGCTCATGTGGGTTGCCAGGGCTCTAACCCTGGTCAGCCACATGCAAATCAAACATCCTACCTGCTGTACTATCGCTCTGACCCTCCAAAAGAAAAAAATTTATTAAAACAAATATTTTTATCATAGAATATACAGAGATGATCCAAGAACATTTAAACAATATATTTTAAAATGTATATTAAATTTATAAAAATAAAACATTAAATCTTTAAAAATACTGTGAAGGATATTAAAATAAAAGTCATGGATATGCAACATATATAACAGGTCAAAGACTCATTTGGAATACAAAAATCACTCTTTATTAATAATGAAACAAAGGACTGCTTCCTCACCATCCCAGCAAATAGGATGCTCAGCAACATTTATCACCAAGGAAACATTAAAGTCAAAATGAGAAGTAACTATACACCCTGGGAATGCTAACTTTAAAGTCTTATTATTCAAATAAGCCAGACCCACCTCATTGGCTGCAAATGGTGGAATGATGTCATCATATGTCACTTGGGCATTAAACAAATCCTAATGAGCTAAAAATGTGCTTGTTTTAGCTAACTGACCTCCTGGGCCTTCATAAACCACTTGATAAACATTCTCATATAATGATTTCCAGAGAGCCAACTGTGACTTCCAAACCTTATAAGAAAGCCCCCAGGCCTCTGGCCCCTGCTCTGGATGCCTGCTATGGCACACGCGTGTCCTTCATGGCCCCCACACAACCCAGAAGTGTGTGCTGACAATAATTGAAAGCAGGGAGAAGAGTGGAGCCAGACCCTAGTCCCCCACTCTTTCTGGACAGTGCTACCATACTCTCCGCCTTTGTCTTGAGTGTTACATGAGGGAAAGTCCTGCCTGGAGGAGTGGAAGCAAAGCAGGGATTCTAGGCTGGCTCTGTGGTGGGTATTCCTGGACCTCAGTGGAAATGGGTCAGAAACAACATTCGTATGCTGTGAAGGAGCTGGGAGACTGAGAGTCCAGTGGTTGAACTGGGACCTATCCACACGTTCTGTGAGTGTTGGGCAGAGGGGAAGCCTGATCAGAACACAAGTGAGGCCTGGCACTTTAGAGATTCGAGTGCTCCCTCATGCGGTGGCCATAGGTCCAGCAAGCAGGGATCTACTCTTGGGAGAATAGATGCTCCTCAGGTCTCAGGGTTAACTTCATCTGACCTGGAATCACTGGGCCTGTGGTATCTGGCAGCTGTGCAGGAGTCCCCTCACCACAGCCCATGTGGATACTTGGCATGGTTTTTCTCACAATTATAAGGTGATAGAGACTATTTCTGTTTCCTGGGTAAATTAGCAAAACATATGCATAACCTCCCAGTTGAACCTGATTTCAATGACCAATAATAAATGACTTGAGAAAGAAGCTGAGATATATATGGATACAGATACTCAATGTATATTTACTATTATATATGTTGTTTAATACCCATGTTACATATGGTCAAATCATTTCACTATATATACTCATATATACACTATTGTCATTAAAAAAGATTTTAAAAGATGGAAGTGTGCTCTCTTTGGGACAAAATGGAAGAAACTCATAATGATAATGATAAGTGAAATAAGAAAGTAAAAGACAATAACCAACCTTACTCAATCTGTACAATAACTGAAAAACTTCCCTAAAGCCACAGAGTCTTCAGGGTCGGAACCATATCTCCAACCATCTGTATCAAATTTTAGAGACAACTTCACCCTTCTATGGGGGAGAAATGTCATTTGCCTGCCCTGTAATGAATCCACTTGGGAAGGCTTTTGTGAAGAAGGTGAACTTGTAAAGCATGGAACATGCTCAGTCATTGAAATCATTATATGAAGAAGTGGCAGGGCATGAGATCCACATACCTCTGTGTCAATCTCAGCCCCTTCTTCCTAGACCCTGGGGCTGATGCACCTGAATTAATCTGGATTAAAAGCTTACTGGATCTGGAAGCTGCCCTAAACTCCTGCATTTGGCCCCACACCTTCTGTTCACTAGTTTAGAAGGACAAGGGAGAGAGACCGCCACACAAGAAGGCACTTACTTGTTTCAGGATGCCTTTGCTTGGGAGTCAAGTCCCCTTCCAGATCCTCATGACAAGACAATGGGTCCTGCTTCTATCCACTCTGCTCTGTGGCTTGGCTGGCCCCATTCCTCTGTTTCAACAAAGCCTGATGCTGGACTTGGCCAAGGTCCTTCTGGAAAATTATGTCTTCCCAGAGCACCTGGTGGGGATGCAGGAAGCCATTGAGCAGGTCATCAAGAATCCTGAGACTCTCACTATTTCAGACCCCCAGACTCTGGCCCAGGTTCTGACTACTGGGGCACAGAGCTTCCTGAACGACCCTCACCTGGTCATCTCCTATGAGCCCAGTGCCCTTGAGGCTCTCGAGCAGCAAGTTCCAGAACTCACCAACCTCACACAAGAGCAACTGCTGGCCCAGATGCAGAATCACTTTCACCACCAGATTCTGGAGGACAACGTGGGCTACCTGCGAATGGATGACATCCCGAGTCAGGAGGAGGTGAGCATGCAGGGGGCCCTCCTGGTGGCCAGCGCCTGGGAAAATCTCACAGCCACATCTTCCTTAGTGTTGGATCTTAGACACTGCACGGGAGGCCGTGTCTCTGGCATCCCCTACCTCATCTCCTACCTCTACCCAGGAAACACGGCCCTGCATGTGGACACCATATATGAGCGCCCCTCCAATACCACCACTGAGCTCTGGACCCTGCCCCGGGTCCAGGAAGAGCGGTATGGTGCAGACAAGGATGTAGTGGTTCTCATCAGCAACCTCACTGGGGGTGTGGCTGAGAACATTGTTTACATCCTCAAACAGATGCGCAGGGCTATTGTGGTGGGTGAGCAGGGTGTGGGGGCTGCTCTGGACCTCCAGAAGCTGAGGATAGGACAGTCTGATTTCTTTGTCACCCTGCCTGTCTCCAGGTCTCTGGGACCCATGGGCAGGGGTAGCCAGACACAGGAGGGCAGCAGGGTGCTGCCCTATGTAGGGGCACGGGCAGATCAGGCCCTGGAGAAAGCCCTGGCCATCCTCACACTGCGCCGTGCCCTCCCAGGTGTCATGCAGCGCCTGCAGGAAGCCCTGCAGGACCACTATGCGCTGGTGGACCGTGTACCCACCCTGCTGCACCACTTGGCCAGCATGGACTTGTCTGAGGTCGTCTCCGAGGAAGATCTGGTTGTTAAGCTCAACACTGGTTTGCAGGCTGTATCACAGGACCCCAGGCTTTCAGTTCAGGCTGTGATGCCCAAAGAAATCTCTTCTGGGTCTGAGGCTGGGGCTGATGAGTCCCCAGAGATGGTTCCAACAATGCCTAAGGATGACTCAGCGCTGCAGGCCCTGGTGGACTCTGTGTTCCAGGTGTCAGTGCTGCCTGGCAAGGTGGGCTACCTGCGCTTTGACAGTTTTGCGGAGGCCTCTGTGCTGGGCGTGTTGGAGCCCTATATCCTGCGCCAAGTGTGGGAGCCCCTGCAGGACACAGAGCATCTCATCATGGACCTGCGCCAGAATCCCGGGGGGCCATCCTCAGGGGTGCCCTTGATACTCTCTTACTTCCAGGGCCCCAACACCGGCCCTGTGCGTCTCTTCACCACCTACAACCGCCACACCAATGTCACCCAGGACTATTTTAGCCACCCAGAGCTGCAGGGCCGGCATTACGGCACCCGCAGTGGGGTGTATCTGCTCACCAGTCACCACACTGCCACCGCTGCGGAGGAGCTGGCCTTTCTCATGCAGTCTCTGGGCTGGGCCACGCTGGTAGGTGAGGTCACGGCAGGAAACCTGCTTCACACCTACTCAGTGCCCCTGCTGGAGGGGCCAGAAGGTGGCTTGGCACTCACGGTACCTGTACTCACCTTCACTGACCACCACGGGGAGTGCTGGCTGGGGGGCGGTGTGGTGCCCGATGTCATTGTGCTGGCCGAGGAGGCCCTGGACAGAGCCCAGGTGGTGCTGAGCTTTCACCAAAGCCTGGCAGCTTTGGTGGAGGGCACCAGGCACCTGCTGGAGGTGCACTATGCCCACCCAGAGGTAGTGGGGCAGACCAGTGCCCTGTTGCAAGAAAAGCTAGCCCAGGGGGCCTACCACACAGCAACAGACCTGGACTCACTAGCCTCCCAGCTCACAGCTGACCTGCAGGACATGTCTGGGGACCACCGTTTGCTCGTGTTCCACAGTTCTGATGAGGTGGCAACCGAGGAGGAGCCCCCGCCAGCCTCCATGGTCCCCTCCCCAGAGGAGCTCTCCTATCTCATTGAGACCCTGTTCAAGACAGATGTGTTACCTGGACAGCTAGGCTACTTGCGTTTTGATGCCATGGCCGAGCTGGAGGCTGTGAAGGCCATTGGACCACAGTTGGTGCGGCTGGTGTGGCAGGAGCTGGTGGACACGGCTGCCCTGGTCATCGACCTGCGCTACAACCCAGGCAGCTATACCACAGCCGTGCCACTACTTTGCTCCTACTTCTTTGAGGCAGAGCCCTTCCGGCACCTGTACTCCCTCTATGACAGGAACACCTTGAGGGTGACAGAGGTGAAGACCCTGCCCCAGGTAGCCGGCCGCCGCTATGGATCCCGCAAAGACCTCTACATCCTGGTGAGCCACAGCAGTGGATCGGCTGCAGAGGCCTTTTCTCGCAGCATGCAGGATCTGCAGCGGGCCACAGTCATTGGGGAGCACACAGGCGGGGGGGCACTCTCCGTGGGCATCTACCAGGTGGCAAGCAGCCCCATATATGCCTCCATACCCACACAGATAGCCATGAGTGCCAGCACAGGAGAATCTTGGGACCTGGCTGGGGTGAAGCCTGATGTCATTGTGCCTGCGAGTGAGGCCCTCTCCACAGCCCAGGACATAGTGACCTTACGCGCCAAGGTGCCCACAGTGCTGCTGACAACAGGCAAGTTGGTGGCTGATAACTACGCCTTCCCAGAGCTGGGAGCCAAGATAGCTGCCAGGCTGAGTGGCTTGCAGAGTCACTATGCCAGGGTGACCTCAGAAGAGGTCCTGGCAGAGATGCTGGGCGCTGACCTGCAGCTGCTGTCAGGGGACCCACACCTGAAAATGGTGCATGTCCCTGAAGATGCCAGGGACCATATTCCTGGGATTGTGCCCACGCAGGTAAGACACTGGGAGACAGGACCCATGGCTCCTGGAGCGGTTGGTTGATTTTCCACTAACTGGGAGTTTGCTTACAGTGTGAGGCGATGACTTCTAGACTTAGTTTGGAGTTGAAGTCTCCCCTGTCACCCCTCTGTTCCACTGTTACACTTCTGTAGAATTTTGGCATTCATAGAAACTCCATTTGCAAGCAACTCCATTTCCGATGATGGAAGAGGGATATCCCTCTTGACCAGGTGGGTGCGAAGTGTTTTCATGGGTTATCATTCTCAGTTTGGGCAAAGGCAGCATCTGAGACATCTCTCAAATTTTCAAATGGAACAGGTCTTGAAACCTCTTAACTCTTTCTGAAACTTGCACTCCTTTCCAATTTTCCTGAGTTTTAAATTCTGTGGTTCTCTTGATCCTTTAACTGGACTGCCCAATCTTTCAGATCCCTTCCCCTGATGTCTTTGAAGATCTGATCAAGTTTTCCTTCCACACCAATGTGCTTGAGGGCAACATTGGCTACTTGAGGTTTGACCTGTTTGGAGACAGTGAGCTGCTCACACAGGTCCCCGAGCTGCTGGTGGAGCATGTTTGGAAGAAGATTGTGCACACAGATGCCATGATCATCGACATGAGGTCAGTGAGCCAGAGTTAAGATCCTGGTGGGATTGGGCCACTGTCAGATATAGTCAGATGATGGGCATAGAAAGGAAGGATCCTGATTCAGGGCTGGAACTGAAAAAGAAGTACTAGCTGTCTGGCAGTCAGGCTTCAGGCACTAACCTGGGACTTCTCGTTTAACTGGCTATGTGGGGTCCCAGCACTGGTTTGTTTTTGTTTGTAACCCCTCAGAAATACCACGGAGCATTCTAGGTTAATAACTGGAATAAATTGATGGTCCGCAAGTTTGCCTGATTATTGGGTTCAAATGGGTGGAGGGAAACAGATTTTACTCCCTGTCCACCACACCCAACCCCACTCCACTTACTGAAGATGATCCTGGGCTGAGATCTGGTGGTCTGGATTTTGTCACATTCTTAAAAACAACCTACCAACATGCTCAGGAGTACAGGAAAGAGTGCCAGAAAGAATTTGCAAATGCAACACTGTTATTACTAAGAGAATTATTTGCACCATAAAGTGATTGTTAGAATGAAAATGTTTTCAGACCTCCGTGAGACAAGATGTGCCTCACACTAGGTGAGTTTCTCTCAAAGAGAAGAAAGAATGCCTTCAGGCTGTGCTTCCTCTCAGGTGGGTTGGGATGGGGTCCTGATACACAACTTTTCCTGGAATATTCCTGAGGCAGAGAGATGCAGCTGCTCTCCAGGTATGCAGACCTCACTCTCCCCAGCTCTAGAGAAAGGTGATCAGCAACAAGAGCTAGTCCCCATTTCAGCTCCTACCTCTGTCATCCAATACCTTCTATGGTTCTTAGGGGGCTCTGAGCCCCAGAAGCGAGTTCCCCTCTCTGGAAAATAAAATATTTTAAATAAAATAAAATATTTTCCAAGGGTTTAATTTCTGTGTCCCAGAACTCACTTTTGTGGCTTCCTGTAGTACCTGATTGTTTCTTTCTTCAAACCCATCTTTTGATCATCAAAGCAGTCCTCATGAGGCTCTGCTATCAATAATTTTTTACTTGTTTGGGGATCAGGTCATACTTAGTGGTGTTTAGGAACTACACCTGGCTTGGTGTTCTGGAGGAACTCTTGGTTGTATTTGGAGGATCAGATAGTACCAGGAATAGAAAACAGGCCTTTTGCACTTAAAGCATGTACCTTAGTTGGTGAGCTCTCTCCCTATCTCCCGCCCCCCTCCACCCCCACACACACCCTCAGTAATCCTTTTAAGAAGAGGATTAGTGTGTTGCTTAGAGAACCTACCAAATTTGGAGGTTTAGATGCTGGGATCATTGACCTTGAGCCCCACTGAGGCCATCCTAAACCATCAAGTGAAGAGGCTCTAGAGACTCTAAAGACACTGCCAGCCAGATTTTTTTTTTTGGCTGATGTGGATGGGGGCCCAGGTAAAGGTAAGGTAAAGGCCCTCCCGTTGATCGTCGATTTGCTCGAGCGGGCCCAGTAACGTCTCCATTGGAGACTTTGTTGTTACTGTGTCTGGCATATCGAATACTCTCGGTAGCTTGCCGGGCTCTCCGAGAGGGGCGGAGGAATCGAACTCGGGTCGGCCATGTTGGCCGCTTGTAAGGCGAATGCCCTACCCGCTGTGCTATCGCTCCAGCCCGGGGGCCCAGGAAGATCATGCAATAAGTCAACTCCAAAGGCCTAGGCAGGAACAGGCTCCCTGGACCCCTCTGTAGCTCCAGTTGCTCTGAGAACACCACCACAGTGAGTGCCATGTTAGAATCCGTCAACCAAAGTGACTTCTGGATCTCATTCACTTTTAAACATAAAAATTTGGGGGAATTTGTATGCTCTGCTCACAGCAGTAGTAGTATAGGAGAGCAACCCATGATCAGTAACCTGGCAGGGGGAATTTATCAACAAGTTTATGAGTGGGATTTTTTAAAGAACCTTTAAAGTAATGCATATTATACACATCACATTAGGTTCATATGTGATCAGAAGGGGTGTGAGGTAAATAGGCACTATTTCTAAATAAATTTGACCACAAACTCTCTTTTTTTCAAGAGACATGTACTCTGGAAAATACCCACCATGGAATGTTGTTGGAGAGACTGAGGCTACCTGGTATCAGAACCCTCCATGAAGCAAGGGCCTCACTTTGAGCCCAGCCCCTTAATGGTGTCTATCCTCCTTCCCTCAGATTCAATGTTGGTGGCCCCACCTCATTCATCTCGGCCCTGTGCTCCTACTTCTTTGATGAAGGCTCTCCAATTCTGCTAGACAAAATTTACAGCAGGCCCAATGATTCTGTCAGTGAACTCTGGACCCACACTTGGCTCGCAGGTGTGTAAAGAACCCTTTATGTTTTATTCTTACTGTAGGAGTTTCCAGAATATAGGGGTGAATAGCTTGGATTCAGAATATTAACTGGAATATAATCCCTCATCTGGTGTGCTGTACTTCATGAACCATTTATCCCAAAAGTTAAAGAAAAACAAATCCTAACCTTGTCAAAAACTTGCATAATGTCACCCAGCTAAAAAGTGAACGTGTCAAGATTTGAACAAAGAATTTGTTTTAATCCAGCATACCCCCAGCCTAGACAACAAACCTGAAAGACAGGTACAGAACTCCAACGATTCTTCTGCCCAAACCAAACTCACAGTTTGATTTGGTGATGTTACTGCCACAGTTCAATGCATCTGACTAAAGACAGTTAGTTCATGGCTCTAATGGACTGCTGTTATCTCTCTTGGACTCAGAGCAATGAACAGAGGAGCAATGAGAGTCTGTGTGCTGAAAAATCACATTCTTGCAGCAGCCCAACACCAGCTGTTCTCCATGCCCCTTTTGAAACTTGCAGAACCATGGTACCTATATTCTTATCAACATGATAGACCTGGGAGACAAACAAAATGTGCATTTGAACAGAAATGTGCCTCATACCTATATTTTTTGAAGGGGAATCTCCTAAGTAGTGCTGGGGAGCCCAAGTATCTCCTGCAGATGCTCAAGCAACAGGGCCAGCAGTTTAGGGCAGGGTCTGAGGAGGCAGTGTTACTCAGGTCCTGTGGTGGTGGGGACCACGAGGACCACCCTATGGTGGTGGGGGACTAGAATGCTCCAGAGGTCATTTCAGAAATATTGAAAATAAAGATATAAATAAATTGAGTTTAGTTCAAGTTAAAAATAGAGTCAGACATACAAATCATGGAGCCCTAAATTCGTGATATTAATGTGACAGAAGACACTTCCATGTGTGATCATTGAATATTGAAATGTGACTCATGTGAATGACAGGTTTTGAAGACATTTTATAGGGGGAAAAATACACAATATCTCTTTAGTTATGTGACTCATTAATTATACTCATTATGTCACATTCATTATGCCAAAAGTAAATGTCCTCTGTGGCTCATGCTCTGGTCTTATTTCTTAATTGGGGGTGTTCCCAAGCATTGCCCAAAAGGTCAGTGGATGCTCACAGTAATATTAGGTCAATTGATTCAGTTGTACAGCCCAAGGATGTAAGGATGCAGTGATTCAAGGACCTGTGGCTCTAGGAACACCTAGCATGTCATGGTGGTGCTTAGGGACCTCCACTGCTACACCCAGTGATACTCAGAAGACCATGTGGTGTATAGGATTGAACCTTAATCCCTGTGTGTCTCTTGGCTCACTCAAATTACATTTCTATTTGATATCTCTGTCTTAAGGATGATTGCTGTTGGGTAACAAGTTTCACTTTACTGAGGGTCTAAAGTGAGAAATGAGATTCTGAGCAGACTCATGATTTATGAAGAGAAAGCAAAGCAGTTTCTTGGGAAAGACAAACTTTTCCTCATTATCCAGCATTAAGAAAATTTGCGGGGGATGGGGGGCTCTCACGCACCTACACACCCTCCTCTCTATAGGTAAAGGTTGTATGGGGAAGGCAGGTACCACTAGAGGTGACTTGGTTCTCCTCTGTCTTCTAGGTGAGTGCTATGGCTCCAAGAAGAGTGTGGTCATTCTGACTAGCAATGCGACAGCTGGTGCAGCAGAAGAATTTACATACATCATGAAGAGACTGGGACGTGCACTGGTCATCGGGGAGGTGACCAGTGGGGGTTGCCAGCCTCCACAAACATACAACGTGGATGACACCCATTTGTACATCACCATCCCCACGACCCACTCAGTGGGAGCTGCAAACGGCAGCTCCTGGGAAGGCATGGGAGTGGTGCCTCATGTGGCTGTCCCTGCAGATGTGGCCCTCACCAGAGCCAAGGAGATGCTCCTACCCAATGTGCTGAGGGCATAGCAGAGCCCCAGCCTGCAGGGCCTTGGGGAATTTATGTAGGAACTCTGATCCACATATCAGGACACTCTTGCATGTGATCCTGCCTGAGTTCCTCCCCATTCTAGAGCAGGAAAGGCCTGTTGAGCTCTGGCTAGGCTTAAAAACACAGCTGCACTTGGAACCATCCGCCCAATCACTTCACCATGGCCAGCATTTTCTCCGGCATCTAGAGACAGGAATTTTGCCTCACTCAAAGCCACTCTTTCAGTGTAGTTATAATCAGGGGAAGTGTGTTCAGATCCATCCTCATGCAGGCTTTTCTGTCCTGGTCCCTGATGCTTTCACTGTCAATTAGGGCATTTGTCCAGTAACTATAACATGAATTACAGTCGCTAGAGACATGTATCATTTTAGTGGCCACAATTTTTTGAAGAATTTTTAAAAGAAGGTAAAATGTAGGATTACACTGTTTTTGTCTTTCCTGCGTAGCCTCAGGTCTTATTTCTTGATTGGGGGTTGTTTAGGTTTATTGGGTTGCTCCCATCACAGTACTCCCATTCCTCTGTGTTTATTTGTAACTTCTTTCTTTGTGCTCTGTGTATTGTTTTTCTCTTCTCCCTAAGTCCTTTGCATAGTTTATTCAGAGCAATGTCCTTTTTGTATGGACACAAGTAGACAGTATATGCTATGCTTTTGTAACATGACTCTCAGTGTTATTTTACTCCTGGGCATCTGGTCTCTCACCTAAGTCTCAGCTGCCCTTACTTCCTAGTGCCCCTAAAAGCAAGATCCTGATGAGGGACTGGCTGGAACTAGGGCAAGTGGTAAGCTGTGTGCTACCCTGACATCAAGATGGGCCTGGCCAAAGTGCCTAATGCTTAACTCTAAGTTAAGAGCTTGGTCATGGACAAATGATCAAAAAAGTAATAACTAGACTCGGACCCTGCTAGGATTAGGAATGATTAATCTGGCCTGAGCTCTGTAGTCTTAGTCTGTGGCAAGATGTTCCCAGGAGGGTTTCCCTAAAAGCCTCAATGTATCTCTTACTGTGTCCATACAAAAATAACTAGTATTAAGATGTTGATAGAGTTATTGGACTGAGGAAAGGAGAAAAACACCTTAGGAGGTATTTTACCCTTGGGCAGTCAGGAAGGGCTTTGGAGTACCTCTATGAACCTGCTAGGTCCTCAGGAAGTGCTTTCTTATGTTGATTTTGCTACCTGACTGGGTGCAGTGTCAGTCCAGTGTGCTGGGGAGTTGGAGAGACAAGAGAGCTGGAGAGAGGGAGAGAGCAGGAGAGGATGAGAGAGAGAGAGAGCAGGCGGCAAGGTTGAGTGGGGACAGACTAGCAGGGAAACAGAGAGAGAAGAATGTAGAAGAATACAGGAGCAGGCTTGTGGAGAGAGCGAGCCCAGGCTGAGAGATGGAGCACAGAGAGATGAGCGGGAGACTGGAGGAGATAGGAATGAGGGGTAGTGTGAGAATAGAATGGGAGGCTCAGAGAGACTGGGGTGGGTGCATGAGGTGAATGGAATAAACGGCATCTGATCAATCAACCGGCTTGGCCCTCATTTTGTCCACCATCTGCCCCACGGCTCGGACTGCCCTGGCTGTGGGAGCAGCCAAGGCCCACCCCGACTCGCAGGCGGCTATGGGAAGAGCTGTTGGGGCCACCCCCCTGGCCAATCCTGGAGGTTTTATACAGTAAAATATATTTTTTTCTGGGTTTTGAGTCACATCCGAGTGTCCCCAGGACTTTACTCCTGGCTCTAGGTTCAGGGATCACTTCTGACAGGCAAAGGGAACCTTATGAGGTACCAGGGACTCCAACCTCGACTTCAGCTGCCTACAAGTCAAGCACCCTGCCCTCTGTACAATCACTCTGGCCCAGTAAAATCAATTTTCATAGTATATTTTAGCAGTGATTTATTTAACCCACACCTGCATCATTACCCCATGTATTCCATATAAAATGGTTGTGAATGAGGTGGTTTTGCACATGCCTGAGATTTGCTATGTTGCCCACACTGACCGTACATCTCCTTTCTCAAGCACCACATCTAGTGCTCAGTGTCCACCCACAGTGGGTGACTCCTGTGTGACCTGCCATGGGTTCAGAATTCAGGCGCTCCCACACTGGGCTGCCGCCCACTTTTCCCTCCCTCTCCTGCCTCTTCCCTGCGGCAGCACCTCACTCTATCCTGTGATCATTTCTATTGTTCACCGCTTGTGTGGCCTGCAGAGATGACTGCCATTCTACTCATCTTAGACTCCTACTGTGCATCACTAAGAACAGCAGCTGGTGCATGAGCAATGAACATGAGGATCAAGCAGTGTCAATGTTTTCCTCTGGTGCTTGAAGACAGTCCAGGATCAGGTAGAAATCTCTCCTTTCTGCTCCAAGAGCCTGCCATATAATTCTACCTTCATTTCACCGGCTCCCCAAGTTAGCCTTATTCCCCAGCTTCTTCCAGGGACCTGAGTTCCCTTGCCTGTGGCACCCCAGGACACAAATGATGCTGAGGACAGAGCATCCCTGGCAGAGATGTCTGGGAATCCATTTCACGAGTCCAAGTGTAGTCTGTCATGGTGCGTGCTCTGGAGGCAGAGACTCTCCTAATAGAGTGAAAAGGTTGCAACCAGCAGAGCTCAAGATCTCCCTTGGAGTTGAAGATGCCCCAGGAGAAGACGAAGAGTTTGGGGTGGTCTTGAGGCTATAAGACACCTGGTTGGAACTCTCAGACAATACAACCTTGCTCAACAAGAGTTACAAGGGACTCCAAAGTAAGAGACCTTTAGGACCCTGCCTAAACTTATTTGCGGGTGAGGGTAGAAGGACAGACGGAAGTCTCATTCCCGGATGACATCAGTGCTCCTGGGTTGTGCCTGCGACTACGTGTTGAAAGCCTGGATTTACCATCTGGTGAATCCAGGTTGCCACAGACAGCTTCCTCCAGAGCTTAGGGTTCACTCCCTCCTCAGATGCTGTAAAACTATAGAATCTGGACCTATTCCTGGAGTAACATATTCCAGTAATTTCTAGGAGCTTCTTTCCTCCCACATCCTAAACAATCTTGTTTTGGAATGGTAAAACTCCAATGAAAAGTAAGATTTCACTAAAATTACTTCCCTTTCTGCTGAGTTATTGGGTCTTAATAGGATCCAATAACATGTATAATAGCCCTCATCATTTTCTTTGTTAGAAATATTAATGATAGGGTAAATGTGTCTCACACACAGGCACACACGCACACATCCAGGTGTCTGATGATCACCTATATCTTAATGATGGTTTATTTTAAGTGGTAAAATATGGGATAATACTTTTATTCTCTAATTTTTTTTCTCATTCTTAAATTTTTATCATTTATAAGGATCTATGTGAGGATGTACCATTAAGTAATATCATAAGTAAATGCATTACTCCATAAAGTAAATGAATAAGTTCAAATTACATAATTGAGCTACTAACCATATCTGAGGCTATAGGGTCTTTTTTCCCACTTAAATTTTATTTCCCTGATTTGCACCACTGGCATTTATTGATGGCCTTATTTGCTTTATGGTGTCTTGCTCAGTAAGGCCAGCAGGTGGCAAGAGTTCTAGTGACTAACATGGGGAAGAGGCAGAACAGTTTGAGGTTAATTGATGTGCTGGTTCTCTCTTCAGTTCCACAGGTAAGGACAACCATCATTATCATTTATACAGTAATTACCTGAGATTTAGATAAGCTCAGCTATTTATTGAGGCATACATTTGTTTTTTAAATCACCCAACTTTTACATTCCTGGTAGATGTTCAGAAATTTGTTCCCTGTTAGAACAAGAATGAAACAGGTTAAGGAGTGAGGTGAATGGGGACACAGGCTCTGTTTTAAACCTACCTGGATGAAAGGTCTTGCTGGGCCACTTTCCAGACTTACCTTAGTTCTCTGGGGCAGTTTTCTTATCATTCTTGGGAGATAGGATCTAGTAATTAGTCAACATCAGCTGTCAACACTTTCCCACTAGGAAGTTAAACAACCCCAAGTTCTTTTCCAGATCCTGGCATAAGAGTATGGGTAGGTGATCCTTTATCAACAAACCAGAGGTTCCTGTGCTGGGGTTTTATATGGAGCCAGTGATTTAGAAGAACTTGGAAGCAAACAGTGAGCCGATGTCATTGTACAGGGCTGCAGTGTACAATGTGCCCTTACTCCGAGTTTCCTCCTTCTTCAGCAACCCTTCTAAGTGGTTTCTTGCCCTGCATATCATCCCCCAGAGAAACCAACCTGACCATTTAATACTGAGTACAGAGAAGGCACTGTAGCACTGTCCTCCCACTGTTCATCGATTTGCTTGAGTGGGCACCAGTAACATCTCACAACAAATTGTGAGACTTGTTGTTACTGTTTTTTGGCTTTCGCCACTCTCGGAGAGGCCGGCAAGCTACCGAGAGTATCTTGCCCACACAGCAAAGCCTGGCAAGCTCCCCATGACATATTTAATATGCCAAAAAAAGTAACAACAAATCTCACAATTTGTTATGAGATGTTACTGGTGCCCGCTTGAGCAATTCGATGAACAGTGGGAGTTCAGTGCTACAGTGCAACAGAGTAGGATCCTCTGAATATATCTTTTCTACTTTATCTATAGACTAGCTCTCTCTTATTTCTCTTATCCTTCCATCCTTTCTTCTTCCCCTTGCCTTCCTTCCTTCCAACAGTACTGTTTTATACATCTAGATGAAGATCCGGGGATATTGGAAACTGCTTTGTCTTCCAAGAACCTTGAGCAGTCTCTGAGCCAGGTCTAAGAAGCTAACTGGAGTTGGGAGAAGGTGTGTAGATGAAAGGAAAGGAGTTTTCCCTCTAGATATCATTCTTCTTGATTGTTACAAGAAGAATCTAAGGAACAATAGAACAATCTACCTCCCAAGATTGGAGAGAAAGGGCAAAGGGAAAAAAAATCACTTCAGACTCCTCTTCTGAAGGCTGATCAGGTGACCCTTAGCTGTCTTGAAACCTCTACTTGAGGCCTCAT